TTTTAAATAAAAATTTTGAATATATAATATTACTGATAATGCACTTTCATGAGGTCTGCCAAAAAAGATATGTAAGAATAATTTGGTTGGACTAAAATATTTGTAGTTATTATGATGTGTCACATAATTAATCAGAATCCTTTTGAGAACTGAAATTATTAACACTAAAGAATTTTTTTGTCTAATTCTCTTTGAGGACACTGTTTATGATTTGAATTTATAATACATCAATGTGAATAACTTTTATGATCTTACTAATATAAACATAAAGCCTACATTTGAGTCAACCAACCTTAAGCATTTTTTTTGTGTAATAAAATACTTAAATATTGTCATATAAAAGTATAATAATAGATCATAATCAAACACTACTTGAAATATAATTAAACACCCGAGTCACTACTTTAGATATAATAAAAAATATAAGAAATTAGCAAAGAATTTTTCGATTAATAACCAAAATAATACACCATGATTTATATCTAAGTCATAATTTATTTATTATAGAATTTTCTATTGTTTTTATTTTTTATTTTTCAAAAAATATATTTTTTTTGATAAAAGTGAAATTCATGATTTTTGATAAATTTGATTAACACAAATGAGGATTTGATTTTAGGTTGATAATATACTTTTTTTTTTTTTTTTTGAACTTTGAAAGAAATTGTTTTTATAAGCCTTTTACATAGGACACACACAATGAAAAAGAATTCATCAACAATTAACAAATCTATTTGTATTTGACTTTCAATTATTAAAATTTTCTAAACATAAAGTATTATGACTCAAAATCAATTTTTCGTTTCAAAAATGAATTCTCGTGCATCGCACAGGTCACCTACTAGTTAAATTATAAGATATTAAAATAAACACTCATTTTGATATTAAAAATAATAATAGTTAAATTAGAAAGAGAATTAGTAATATAAGATTAAAAGTGATTTTAATTATTTATTTTTATATTTATTTAGAAAATAAAAATATGTTGAAATAGGGCTACACAAAATTTATTTAAAAGATTAAATATAAATATGTTGTGATTAGATTAAGAAAAAAATACATAAATTCATTATATAGAGTATTGAGTTTTTCTTTAATATTCTTTTTGAATTATTCATACATATTGCATATAGGTATATAAAATTTAAATTAAATATAAATGTTTTGTAATAAAGAATTTCATGTTAAATAAAAAATTAAATATAAATTAATATTAAGATATCAATAAGATAGACAAAAAAAACTAAAATATATAAAAGAAAATTAATTTATTCGTGCGATGTACATAATTAAGCATATTCTATCTTATTTATTTATTTGTATGTCAAGATATTTTTTTCAAATATCATAATAATTAAATTAAAATATCAACTATATAGAAGAAATTTGATAATAATAAAACTAAATATACAATGAAAAATATGTGAAAAATAAGTATTTATCAAATAAAGTCTATATAAAATTAATTATTATAATTGAAATTGAATTTGTATAAAACTTTATAGATTCAATGATTTCACATACTTCTCAATTTCATCAAGTCAATTTTATTAATATAAGGTACACGTTACATTTTTTAATTTTAAAAATTAAATAGTATATATATATTATGAGTAAGTTAAAGATTTTTAAAACATCACTCCTAAATTTATCCACAAAGACATGTTAGAATTGATCCTTAAACATATCAATAATTGACATACAATAGTTTACCTATTTTAGAGTAAATTTAAGGGTTACGTTTGACAAATCTTTTAAAAAAATTACTTTTTATTTATATTAGCCAATAGAATAGCTTAAATAATTATCTAATCGATTATATATTGAGACGCAATAAATACCTTAAAAAAAATTTAAAAAATGAGATATGCCACATAAGGAGAAAAAAAGAAGCAAAGATTACTTTATATATATATATATAATATGATGATAATTTAATAGTTAAATTATAATATAGATCAACATTTTTTCATAAATTCAAACCTAAAACCTTACTCGTCTTAACGCTTAAGAGCTCGTTTGGAATGTGGATTGACTTTTTGATTTTTTAACTATTTTACCTTTGGCTAAAAAGCTTTGTTTGAAATAATTTTTTTAATTTTTGTAAGAGAAAAAATAAAATGATTATGAATTAGATGTGACATTTTATTATATTTGATTAAAATAATCTATTTTATCCTATATTACTGTTTTAATTCAAAAATGCTATTCCAAACAAAGCCTAAATGCTACTTCCAAGACAATAATTGTCGAAATTCCAAACGGCCATAAACGCGTAAATAAAGTGGATTCACGAATTTATACCTGTTGGACCAATTTGTCTCCCACAAAATTAATTTATTAACAATAATAAACATTTATATGTATAAAAGTGGTGCACCAAGTGTGTTTCATGCGTACACTTATGTTGTGTTTGGTTGAGGGATTTGGAGAGAGATTTGAAAAGAAAAATAAAAAAAATAAGTGAAATGTGAATAAATCATGCCTATATTTCACATAATTTCACACACTTTTTCCCTTTCTTTTTTTAAATTCCTCCTCAAATCCCCAACCAAACACAGCATAAAAGTAAACCCATGTGGTCACTCACACACACTATTGGACGGGTCAACGATTTCGAGTCACTCACACACACAATTGCATGGGTCAACGATTTCAATGATGCCAAAGCATGACACCTTCAACAATTCAATCAATTTCACATCCTTTTTTTTTTTTTTTTTTTTTCAATTCAATACCCACTAAAGATGGTCATTTTTTTTTAAAACAAAATTCCAATCAGTTTGCTTATTTTCATTTTTCAAAAAACACTTTTAAAAAAATTCTACTTTCTTATTTTTCATATTTTTTTATTTTTACTAAATTTTTTTAATATTTTAAATAATTTTTTTACTTTTTAGACACACCTACCATAAACACATCTAAAAAATAAAAAAAATTATAAAAAAAATATTTTAAAAAATCACTAAATACCAAAAATATAAAAAAAAAATACAAGAATTCAATACATTTTTTATATTTCTATGTATTTATTAATTTTTTAAAATATTTTTTCACAAATTTTTTACTTTTTAGATACATCTAACTAAGGTGCATCTAAAAAAAGTAAAAAAAAATATTTAAAATTTAAAAAATATTCACTAAAAATAAAAGAATAAGAAAATCAAAAAACTCAATTTTCAAAAAATTTAATCCAAAACTCAAACCAAACACTATATTTTTATTATAAAATAGCATGACCATGCATAAAATTGACTAGTCCATGTCCATGAAAATGTGCAAAACATTATCATTTACTAACAGGAAAAGCCACGGTGAAGAGTTGACATCCTGCAAAGACTTTGAAGGAAATAATCATTTTCTAGAAGCACAACCATGGACAATTCGTGGCCCATTGCTTCCCATTATTGCACTGATTTTTCCTATATATATGTGTGTGTGTGTGTGTGTGTGTGTGTGTGTGTGTGTGTGTGTGTGTGAGAGAGAGAGAGAGGGAGAGAGAGAGTGCACATGCAGCACATAAATTTTTTGACTTCAAACTAATTTTTTTGTAAAAAAAAAAAAAAATTAATCATAGTGGACTTTGATAAGATGAAACAATGGGTCTATAAATGTAACATTATTTTAGGATTATTAACACTAACTTTTTCTTATCAATCAGTAAAAGATAATGTACAAATATCATAAAATTTTCCTAACTAAAAAAGTATAAAAGGTTACAGACAATCAAAGAAGCCCATGCGAACAAAGGCCATAAAATAGTAACATGAATATTTTGATCATAACTTCAAAGAAAAAATAAGAGGAAAATATACCATTGAGACAGTTCGAATTGAACAATTTTTCCCTATTTAACCAAACAAGAAAATTTTCAATTATTTCAATATCGAATGATCTATCTAATTTATTTTCATGTTGCTTGAATGATTTTTCATTTATTTATTTTTTAATAAGTGTTTCTTGAATGATTGGTCTCAAACTTTATTTGACGTCGAACTGAATATCCAAGTCCCTCCTGAAATTAAACAGCAAGCTTTCTTTTCATAAGACAAATTTTTTCCAATTTAAGGTTAAACAAGATAACAAGGAAACTCTGGCTGAGACACTCACTACAAAGGCCGACAAGGCCTCGGCCTTTTAAAACAACCACTAGACAAGTGCATGACAAGGAAAAGCGGCTACACCAATTACCTAAGTAGAACAAAGGGTGTGCAAAACACCCACCTTACTGAATAGGACACGCAAGGATAATGACAGTGAAGAGTATGGTCATGTATTGCGCCAAGAAGCATCTAACAAGTTCTTATGTAGAAAATAGCACATCCTCCTTCATGTCTCTATGGAAGAAAACAAGAAGCATGATGAAAAGATTTTAAAAAATCTCAAGCTCCCTAAAGAGAGAAGCTCAGTGAACTTCTTCAAGAATTATGGCCAAAAAACACCAAAGAAAAGCTCGGAGAATCTCCTGAGTTGGGGGTTAGGAAGCACCAAAGAAAAACCAGGGGAATGAACAACTAGTGCATCAAACCCCTTAGTTGCTTGCTTTACCAATCCTTTCGGATTGTGAGATTGTTTTCTTGATTTCTCTCGGGATGTAAGAGACTTGTTGTTAGGCTAGGATTTTCTTTTCCTGTCTTGCCCTATAGGTCTGTTTACTGAGCTTTGTTGCATATATTTTCTTTTTTCGGTAATACTATCTCACTTACCCCAAAAAAAGTAGAACAATACTTGGGGCATGGCAATGATCTTGTCAGTGTGATGCTCTGCTTAAGTAGATAGAAGGCATTAAGTGACTACACAAGTATGTATCCAAGAAGACCGAAAAAACTGTGAAAGGGAAAACAAGTAGGCCAATTAACAAGTAGGACAGAAGTCAGGCCAATCATTGCCGGTGCAATGATCCAGTTTTTATGATGCCTGAGTAGATAAAAAAATCCAAGTAGACTACAGAGAACATAAAAACACAAGAAATATTTTTTAAAGATTGAAACACAAAGAAAGATTAAAGATGTGTAAAATTAAGCTTCCTATAAAGCAGGGAAAGTAGCAGTGTTGCAAAATAAGAGTCATGACAAAAACCTATTACACTAGCAACATAACAGATACAGGACTTCATTGGAAACAACAATCCCCCATTGGAAACAACAATCTCCTGAGTCCTTCTGGCTTACCAATTAAATCATTTCATAGAAAGGAAAAAAAAAATTTAAGCACCTGAAGCTTGTGTGGGCTCATCAACGAGGGTGCCTACAGATTTGAACCAACGCATAAGATTCCGATGATCCTTCACATAAAGCCAAGCTTGAAGAAATGGAAAGAGGCTCTCATTTATTCCTCGCTCCTCAATGTAACCATGCAGTGCGTCTCTCATCCCTTCATCAAGATCTCTGTGAGTGAATAAACACATTTGTTAATTGATTTCACAGTGTAATGCATATTCCAAAGGCCTTACCCAGTGCACAAGGCTCTCGCCTACAGCAGGGTATGGGAGAGATAGCAGTAGGTAGGAGCCTCACCCCACTTCTTGTGGGAAGGCTAATTCTCATGACTCCAAAACCACATCACAAGGTTGGGAGCAGATAGCACTTGCCATTATGCGCAGGTCACTACCTCAAAATATATTTTATTAAAAAATAAAAAATAAAAAAAGCACAACTGGAAACATTGTAGTTTTTAGAAGTTTTAATTCATAGAAGCATCTCATCTTCCTAATGCAAAACACAGCCTTTATCAGGAACGGAGCCATAGCTTGGCCTGGGGTGGCCATGGCTCCTCCCACACCATATGTCCCACTTATGCCATTACTGTACAAATCCCTCAATCATGCTCTTACTTACCATCTATCACCCTCCTCAGCCAAATCTCCCTTTCCCTTTTTAATAGTAAGCAAACTTCCTAACAATCAATAATATGGTTAGGGCTGTTCATGGAATCCGCCAACCCAAGAAAATTGACCGGACCAACCTGAACCGGTAAGCCACGGGCGGTTTCAATCACACAGACTGTTGGCAGCAGTTTTTCTTGGATGGATTTTGCAGTTTCGTGGTCGGTAACAGTTTGGTATGCATTAGATCCGTCAAAACCGCCCAACCGAATTATATATATATATATATATAAGACAATGCACCAATCAATGACCTATTGACCATCTTTCATTATCCTTTGGTGGTTGTGCAAAGCTTACTAAGCTTCTTAATCCTTTGTGTCTAACAAAAAAAATTAATCATGACATTTCAATTTTCAAGAACAAAGGCAACAGGAGCCTAAGAGTCATAGGACCCTCCAGCTTTCACAGTCCTTATCTCTCTCTTTCAGAGACTTTCGTCTCTCTCCTCTTCCCCAGATTTCTCTTTTCAAAATATCTCTTTAGTTCCATATTTTTCTCTTCCCCATATCTCTCAACTTCCCAAATTTATATTTTTCCAAACTCTCTCTCTCTCTCTCTCTACAGACAAATTTGCAAGTCTCCTCTCCTCCTCTACAAACAATCTATTTTCTCCATCTCCCCTCCTAAATCCCCTCACCGATCTCCCTCCCTCACACCTATATTTTCTAATCTTCTTTAACCCTTCTTCATGAATCTCCAACTATCAACATTAAACTTCGTATTGAAAGCAAATCGTGAAGGATTGATGATGTCAATGGTGTGGAAGATTAGGAAGACAAGCGGTGGTACAAAAGAATTTTTTGGACAGTGGATGAGATGATGTCTGCCTTCACAAACTCACTCATGTTATCAAATTCTTGCTTATTTTTTTTAAATGTTCCCCAGGTTTTTTTTATATATTTTAATTTCAATCCCCTTTTATTAAAATTGAATTTTAGAATTTTGAGATCAACTATTGTTTTTGTTTTTGAATACAAAGATTGAGAGATTGGTAAATGAATGCTAGTTGTGAAACCGACCGTGTCCGATTGCCAACCGAAGGACTTGAGCGGATGGTTTCGAATAGAATATTTGGTCGGCATTGGTTGAGCAAATAGGCAAACCAATGATGGTTGATTGGTTAACAGTTCAAGGGTAAACTCAAACCAACTCAACCCGTGAACACCCCTAAATATGGTACTTAAACTTGTCTCCAAGCCCTCTCCAAAGAAAGTTCCTCATCAATTCTCTCTATTGTATATGAGTGCTGCTATTAACACTCCATTTATTTCTTTGGACTCCTCAATTTTTTATTTTTTTATTTTTTTATTATAATAATAACCTCAAATGAAATTACTAAAGAGGACATCAATTATTTTGGGACACTCCATCTCACAATTAAGTCTACACACCCACTCAATCATAAAATAGGGTTTATGAGAGCACCCACCTCCATCACCACCCACACACTTCAAAAACTTAAAAACTTACCCACCCTCAAACCTTGAGAACCCTCCGGCGGCAACGGTGGCAGCTATTTGATTATACACACTTCTCCGGCAATTGCAATGAGTAAAAGTTTTTCCGGCAACACAATTCCATGAGACTAATAGAGTACAATAATGTAAGCTCAAAGGAGATTTATAACTTGGATAGTGTTGGAAGTTCGGAGGAGGTTGGCTTTGTAATAGTAAGTTTCTTCAAAAACACGGACAAAAATGGAGAAAACAATTCAACTTCAAAAACAGGCAGGAGTTTACATTTTCTAAGGTTCAAGAACACGGGCCCGAAAAGCAGTCATTTGTTCAGCAACACAGGCCCGAACATAGGTTATTTGTTCGAGAACAGGGGTCTGAACAATGGAATTTCTTAAAGTTTGATGGGTCAAACTTGTGCACATACGCAGGAGTTCACATTTTCTAAGGTTCGGGAACAAAGGCCGAACATCAGTCATTTGTTCAACAACACATGTCCGAACATAGGTTATTTGTTCAAGAACACAGGTCCGAACAAGGGAATTTATTAAAATTTGATGGATCAAGAGAGAGAGATACCAACGTGAAACTTGTGAAGATTGGTTTCAGATCAACAGAGAAGCTCCTCTTCATTTGTGAAACTTGTCTTTCTTCTTATGAGATTCACTGTGAGAGAGAGCAACAGAGATACCGCCAATGAGAAACATGATCGGCAGGGAAATCTCTACGGTGAAGTTCAAATTTGAACTTTTAGGGTTTTGGAAAATGTATATTTTTAGGAGTGCATTTTAATGAGTGAAATTTTTAGAAGGATCTTGTTCCAAAAAAAAAAAATTAGAAAGATAATTTTGGCATTATTTACGAAAAGGAGAAATTTTAAGAGTTTTGAAATTTATAAGTGAGGGTCCAAAGAAATGGAGGATCCAAACTAACAAGTAAAGTGCTAATAGCAGCATTCATTGTATATTGAGTTCTATTGCGATGCTTTCACATCTATATGAGCAATTCATAGAATCACTCCATGTAATAGTAATTAGTTTGCGATGTTTTCTTCTCCAATTTGTTGACTATATTATATCATTTTTCAAAAAGAAAATTTTTTATAAAAGAAACAATGGGAGTGTGAAACCCGTATACAAAATGTAGACAAAGAGCCGAAGAGCCTATTTTTTGTTTCGTTTTCAAAATCTATTTTCTGAAAATACTAAAACTTCTTTGGTAAAATAAACACAAAAAAAGATGTTTTTGAATTTTCAAACACTAATTTTGCACCCAAAAAAATATAATAATATGAAAATGATGACTGTCTTTGAATTTTTCAGAATTTTTCACCCCAAAAACAAATGGCTTGTAGATTCCCTATCATACTTACACATGCAACACCAGTTAACATGGACTTGCTTCCTGCTAATCAAATTATCCATAGGGATAATTTTGCTATGCACTATTGTCTACACAAAAAGGGCAACCTTAGAGGAAGCCCTAGTCCACCACAATCCTTTCCAATAAAAAATTGACTTCTTTGACCCACCAATGTTTCAAAAATGGATTTTTCCTCCAATTGTCTACATTTTGATATTGTCCACCTCACATCATCACCTTTGTCATCAATGTGGGATAGAGCATAAAGACACTTACGAAGCTCCATCAACTCCCCAACCTCCCAAGTATTTAGCTCTCTAAGAAGATCAATATCCCAAAAAAATGATCTCTTAATAGCAAGCTACCTCTTTATTGGACACAATGTTAGCAATTGCACCACTACCAACTTATCCTCCCCAGACCAAAGATGGCTCTAGAATGGCAAAACCTTACCTGCTATGCTACCATTCCGCATCACAAACAGAATGTATCTTGAAAAGGTATCCCACGCTATATGGATTGACACCTTCCACAATTTCATATAATGTGACAGTGACCACCTTCAACGCCCATCCCTTACGTACATCCATATTTAGACTCAACCACTCTCCTCCAATATCTCTTCCCCTCACAGAAAACCTCCAATAAAGCTTGGTTGAAGATTGCAAGCCTTTGAAACCCTAAGCCACCTTCACTCCAAAGAGTACAAACAGTATCTCAATCAACCAGATGATATCTAAACTTATCTCCTAGCCCACTCCAATGGAAATAATGTTGCAGTTTCTCGAACCTCTCTGCTACCAAACTCAGGATGGAGAACAAAGGAATGAAGTGCATACGCAACTAAACAAGGTACCTTTAATTAAAGTCAACCTACTGTCTTCGAACATGTAGTACCTCTTCCATTCCACCAACCGCCTTTGAAATCACCAATAACTATATACCAAACATATTATGCCTTGAACAAAGACCCCAAAGGAAAACCTAAGTGCGTAAAAGCCATGGATCCCACTTGCATCCTGAACTATCAACTAGTTCCACCTTTCATGTCAATCCACAACTAGATCAGTTTCATTCTACCAAATCCATTAGCCCTTAAATTTCCCTTAAAAAAAATATCAATTTCACCAATATGGCCAAAAACCCACATATTAATGTCATTGTACCACAATCTTGCTACCCTGCTATTTTGGTTTCAAATGAATGTGCTCTATATTTAAGTAATGATCTTCTTTCCTGAATGGAGATCCTAGGGTTCTTCCATGAATGATGTTGTCTACAGTGGTGTTGCACCAAAAGAATTAACATGTTATGCTAATGTGCTATACCATGAAATCTTCAGATTATGCTAGATGTGAACATCAAATAACTACAACTCCCTCCATGCATGATAATTAGAAAATAAAAGATGATTATTAGCTGAAAGTTAATCAAATACTAAAGAAAAGTAAAACCCTCATAAAATGCAGTACAGAACTTACCGGAAAACAGGACCATTATATGTGGTTGGAACTACGAAAAAACCAGAAGTTTCAAGCTTCGGCCTCATTGAAACAGAGTGAATTCCCAATGCATCCGGGTACAACCCACAAAGAAAATGTAACGAATCCTTTTGTCCAGGCTTCGAGATATCGACATGAAGGAACAACTGGTTAATACCATCATCACCATCATCATCTCCACCCCCAGGAATAATGTTAGCCAACCGCATTACATAGAGATTGATCTCCTCGTCACCATAAGCCCGTTTTAGAACAGGCAAATTGTTGTCAAGTGCCCCTTTTCCAATCATGAATGGTGAAGGAGGGTTCACCTTCTGCAAACCAAAAAATGTACCTGAATTTAGATTTTTTATTTTATTTTATTTTTTTTAAAGTATCCCAAACACAAAATGTATCCAAGCAATTAAAACCCACTAAAACCCTAAACATGAAATGCATTCGGACATATCCACTACAATCCTATAGAAAAAAATGTACCAAATCTAGATGAAGCCATTAAAACCCACTAAAACCCTAAACATACAATGCATCCAACTTTAGACAAAGCCGCTAAATCCCTAAACACGAAATATATCTACGTGTAGATGAAAAAACAAATTGGGAAATTGCAATTCAGTGGAAGTTTGCAAAAAAAAAAAATTCAAATTAGTGGTATACTTTATCAATTTTAATAATTAAAGTCATAACTTTTCCATAAATTTGCAAAAATTTTAAGAAGACACCAATGATTTGCAATTTCCCCAAACAAATAAAACCCTAGACACTCTATCAGCATTGCCACAAGCCAAAAGAATTCAAAATTTATAATTTTAGAGACTAAATCCTGCATAAATTCATACAAATGAGACATCCATACAAATAAATACAAACAAAAATGCTAAACCCTAAATAAAACAAGCAGCATGAGTGTATATGCACGTAAATATACAAATATGTATATATATACAGATATATATGTATTGACTGAGAGAGAGAGAGAGAGAGAGTGTATTACAGGGGGAGGGGTCATTTTGGAGACTTCGAAGTAGTGTTCTTTGAGGGAGCGGATCAACATGGAGTTGACGGCGGAGGATACGCTCGACGACCGCCGCGATGCTATCATGCGCCACGGTTGCAGAGCGCCGCCAAACGCTTGCCTCCACATTTTTTGCTTCTTCTCTCTCTCTCTCTCTGCCCTTTGATTTGCTTTCTCAACTTTTTTTATATTTTGTCACGAGGTGGAGGTGGCGGTGGCGGTGGCGGTGGCGGCGGTGGTTTCGTGGCGGTGACTAGTTTTTTATGGGGGTGGTGATTGGTGAAGCAGCACTCGAGCTCGAGCATCTGCTTCTATTCTGATGGTACTGTTTGGTGTAGGTTATAATTTAACATATTATAAATTATGAATATTATAAATTATGAATTTAATTAAAAGTTGTTAATATGTTTGGTATAACTGTTGAATTATAGATTTAAATTGCTGAGTAGTGTTTGTTAAATAAGCTGTGAAGTAACTTTTTCAATTAATTTTTATTTTTTGTTATTCACTATTTGTTTACATTTCTCATAAAAAATAATAATAATATTTTATAGTCTATTTGGGTTTTTTTTCTATTTTTTAAAAAATAAAAAAATTTAAGAGTATAATCATGAATTAATATGTCTACAGCAGAAGCTGATAATCAAAAGTAAAGGGTGAGCAGCTTCTCAGAATCAATTTTTTTGACTTAAAATAAGTTGTTAGAATCAGAAGCTGTTTGAAATAAGTTTAACCAAACAGTTCAAAATAATTTTTTAAAAATCAGTAGTCATAAGTTGGCTCAAAAAAGCCCCACCAAATATCCCCGATATTGCCTACTATCTTTGATTCTACTCAAGGCATGTATCAATTTTTTGAGTAAAAATTTGAAAAAAAATTCTCTTTTATATCAATTGTTTCAACAGATGGTTTTACCGTTTCGTCAAATCACTAGTCGAGTAGGTAAACGATTGGACAAATGTTCGGCTAATGTAAATTTTTCATAATTTTTTATTTTTTTGAGGTGGCCATTCAGAGGTTGACTAGGCGATCGACCAGCTAGTGTAATTTTTTCAAAAACTTTTGCTTTTGGATGGTCATCCAGAAGGATATCCGTTGGTGAAAATTCAATGACAATAAACAGTGATTTGATGAAAGATACATTAGTCCTCAGTTTGATGAAAAAAAAGTAAAATCATGGATTTAATATTGATTTGATGAAACCGTTGGAGCGGAAAAAAGAACTATTTTTCATCAAATTCAAATTTGATAAGTTTGATATGCGGTTAAAGATGGTCTTACACCACTAAATAAACTTCTTACACCCATTTTCTTTTTACACCACACCCAAAAATTTATCTCTCTTTACGCTTCTCATAATGTCAAACTTACCATCATCTCTTTCATCTCAACATTCCAAACCCTAAGTCTTCCAACCACCACTTTTAACAGCTACTCCATTTCGGGCAGTCACTCTCATAACCTTCACAGCCCTTCAAACACCATAATCACCGATGTCTCAACCACCACCTTTGCAACCCTCACCGCTACAGTCACTAATTCCTCCGTCGCTTCACCGCCGTGACCATCACCACTGCCTCAACCACCCCATTTTGTAACACTTTTAGATCTGCTTTTCTACTACCGCAATCCATTGCTAGAGCAAGAGACAGAGAGAGACAAAGAGAGACAGAGAGAGATAAAACCTAAGATTAGGCTTTTGGATGAGAGAAGAAAATGGAGAGAGAGAAAAAGGGCAGTGATGGAAAGAGATGGGAGTGACGAAGAACCGCTGCAACCACCCCTTTTTGCAACACTTTCATATTTGCTGTTGGTATTTTTTTCCATAATAATACAAGAAAAATATATAAAAATAAATTAAATAGAAACGATAAAATAATTTTTTATTAAAAGGATGAAATACAGAATAAATGACACAACTAAAAATATCGAAATGAATTAGATTACATTACTAATAGAACAAATTATTAAAAAATTAGAACTCATCAAACTTAAGAACAAATGATAAGAAAAGAAGCAAAGTAAGGCCTGCACTAGACAATTTCCTTAAAACAGATTCATCGTCTCCCGATGGATGCTGGAGATACACCGGCGTCTGTCTCTTAAAATACGACGGTCAAAACCAGCTAACACAGAAGCACCTTTTGAATAGCTTTGGCGAACTTGACAATCGATGCATTCTCTCTAACAAGAACCAAAGAAGGGGCTAACAAGAAAAGATAGGAAAAATTTTCTTTGGTATAAAATAAACATCTCCAACTTTTTATTTCAAAACATCATCTTCATTTTGAATCAAAAATCTTTTTAAAATTCTTCTTACAAGTTGGAGGGGAAAGGCCTCTATTTATACAAGTAGGGGAATCCCTAAATATGAAGGCTATATATTAATAGGGCCATCAAATGTCATTAACTCTAGCCATTAGGGCTAGAGTTACAAAGGTTCAAAACTCCAAAACCATTATATAAATCATAATATATATATATATATATATATATATATGTATATATATATATGTAATATATATATATATATATATATAAGTTTTGAGAATTAAACTAGATGGATCGCAAAATTGATATGGGTGTTAGGTTACAACCCGATCCAAGCCCAATCTCAAACACATGCACAAATTAAGCCCAGCACAATTCAACTTAAAACTCAAGACTAGGTCTAAGTCCAAGTCTAAGACCAAACCTAGTACATACACAAGTATAAGTCTAGGCCCAATTCAAACCAAGACTAAGTCCAAATCTAAACCCAACTTTATTGATATTCACAACTCAATGTGTCACGACCCAAACCCGGCCCTATAGGTTTAGCACCGTAACCGGCCAGTAATCCGAGATTACCGAAGGCCTGCAAAACAGTAGTACAGTAAAGCAGAGTACAGGGCCTAACGGAAGCCAATACAGTAAATGAATAATGTCCATTGAGCTGTGTCAGTCTGTATGCCAAAAAGATTTTTCATGCATTCACATATACAAACAGTACAGTCTATACAAAATTTACAGTCACACAGTACATGGACCTAATCCCTTGATAACAGTACGGTAAACATTCAGTCTATACAGAACAGTAGACGGTACAGAAGGGGGAGTTGTAAAACACCCCTAAGCCTTAACACGATGGGCTCGGAACCTCGCAGTGAGGCACAAAGGCTGGCTTGGCAAAACTGGAGTCTAACCCACGCTCCTAGCTCCGATTTGGTGGCTGAGCACCTACATATATATATAAACAGTGAGCTAGAGCCCAGTGAATAACATAATGCGTAAATGGGTTATGAATGAAATGTCCTTACAGTAATGAAATCAGTTCATTAATCAATACTTCAGTCTTTCAGTCAGAACAGTTATTCAGTCATATGTGGTACATCCATTAGCATAGCAGTAAACAGTAGGTCTTAAAGACCGAGCAGTAATGATGGCCATCAATCAGTAAACAGTAGTGGTTCCATGAGGGAACCGACAGAGATCTCTGTAACAGTAACAGTAAACAGTAGGTGCTAAGGATGCCACAGTACAGTTCAGAAGATAGGACATACATTCATTCAGTAAACAATATCAGTTCAGTAAACAGTGCAGTTCAGTATTCAGAAGATAATCATTTGAACATATCTTTACACAATTGTTACTCACAGAGTTCGGGCTACAGTATGCTAGAGCGTGTCTCTCCAGTCGCCAACCCTACACAGTTAACAGATTGAACACACTAAGCTACACAGTTGGGAAAGATAATAATTTAATCCCTAATGCCTCGGTGTGTTCTACATCTATATCCTCAAAAGATGTCTTAAACTAGGCCTAAGAATGCCTAGAATGGGATGAGGATGCAAGGATGCACATTTAAAAACATTTTCAGAAAACAGAGTCCCGCTCGAGCGCAGGTTGACCCGCTCGAGCGGTCATGCAACAAAGGTACACGCTCGAGCGTCAACTTTCCCGCTCGAGCGTACTGTAAAAGTACTGGATGGGTGAAATTTCCGCTCGACGCCCGCTCGAGCTTGAGACATGACTCCGCTCGAGCGCCCAATCCTCCGCTCGAGCGGACTGTAAAACAGTGCAGAGATACTGGATGCTCGGATTCCACGCTCGAGCGGCACTTCCCCCCGCTCGAGCGGAAGTGCAGAATCTGGGAATTCCAGATTGCACCTCCAAGCTCAAACTCACATTCAAATGCATCAAAACCAATCCTCTTGGGCCCATTTTCTGGAAAACATTTATAAACACATAGAATATCCTAGTTCAAGCTCAATTTTGAGAAATCAAGGCCCAAGGGTGTTTAATTCAAACCCAATTTTCAAACCAATTTCATGAGCAATATGAACACGCAAACATGCATGAATTCAAATCATTTCAAAGCTTCAATTTGATGCTCTAAGGAGCCAATTGATCCAAAAATAAGTTGAAAACATGGACCATTACAAAATTATGAACATGCATGCGCCATTTACCATGAATTCAACTCCAAGAACACATGCAAGCATGAATTATGCTCTATATCAACATGTATGAACTAAAACAAGGCTTATCTCTACAATTAAACATGGACCATGCGACAATCAACTTAAAGACAAACCAAAAGGATGAAATTCATACCTAGGTCCCTTGAATGCAAGTCTAGAGGTTCAATTATGGAGTCTATACATCAATTCTTCAATCTCTCCAAGCAATTCACAAAGTAGAACTCAAGATCAACTCAATTCTCTCTCACTCTCTATCTTGGTCGGTTGAGCAAGGAGAAGGGCTGAGCAAAATGTGTTTTGATTCAAGGTGTAATGAGGCTCAAATATATGTATTGAGTGGGCCACTAAGGGTGGCAAGTTGGTAATTACGGCAACTTCGCAATTAACTCGTTTTAATCTAATTTAATCATACCTAATCATTTTTCAAATAACTTTACTATAAAATCACATTAATTATGACGATCATAAAACATTAATCAATTCCGGATTCGGCTGCCGATAAGGCCTTCAATTAGCAGTTTAAACACTAAAATACTAACAGATCAAATAAATAATCGACAGATAGAATGCAACACAATAGATATACTTGGCTAATTCAGTTTCAATTTCAATCAGTCGGTTCAGTACTTTTAATCAGTTCAATCATCAGTCATAATCAATTCAGTTTAACGGTAATCGATGGTTATCGGTAATCAATCAGTCATTAATCGGTAAACAGTATGAGGGTTGTTACAGTAACAGAATGAACATATGGTATAGATGAAAACATATTCGAAATCATGGAGGGCATAAACTGAAAGTTGGAAGAAAATAAGGAACTCACAGTTGGGTCCGAGGTCGAGGACACCG